CCATCGTTGTAATTACATATAAAACTTTATCTATACTCTAATAAAAAGTTCCCCAGACCAAAGAGGTCACCTTAATATCAAAAAAAATAAAAAATAATTGAATCTATAGGCTCTGTTGCAAGGATTAGTATACTTTACTAATCAATTTTATTAATGCTATTTATTTTTCACCTTTCTATTAAATGCTTAATTCCAAAAAACATATTGGTATCTAAAGTTGCTCTATATAAGTTGGCGGCCCCAAATCTGCAACAAATAAACTATCTAATTTCCACTTTGCATTTTTATCATGTTGTGGATGTATTTGACTTTCAAGATAATCAAATACTGACTTCTCATCAAAATAACTATCAATTAATGCTTCATCATCTAATTGAGCTTCATAAAAAGCCTTATCTTCCAATTCTAACATACGATTCCATAAATTTAATGTATACATCCAATTTTTACTTCTGTTATTACTTGATACTTTGTCTTCTGATTCTTCAGAATCTGTTGTGTCTTCATTTTCTATATTATTTGATTTATCTTTATCGTCTTGTTCATAACTTTGTACTAAATTAGAGTAATATATCTTTTTTATAATTTCAAGTTCATAGTTTCGATGAGCTTGGTTGATTACTCCACGAATTTGTGCTATTGATAAAACTTTTTTAGGCTAGAAAAAAAATAATAAATAAATATATGTTATTTTTGTATTGTAAAATAAATATAAGATCTTTAGTATATAATATACAGTATAGTAACTACATTAAGTTGATTTCTTCGGGATAAGTGTAAAAAACTCATAGACGACTATAATCTTTCTACAGATGCTGCATTTACACACACACTAAAAATACGTGTTGCAACATAACCTAATTTGGTAGTTTTTTCAGAACACCATTTCCAATAATGAAGTACATCACCTTTCCACTGACGCCAAGTAGAATCATTAAAAGGATATTGCTTGTTTTGATACATTCCAAATTCACGAAGAATATTTTCAGATTCTTTTTGCTTCCAAGCACAATAGTAATATACTACCCATTTTCCAAAATCAACCCAATTAAGATTTGAAAAACCACTATTAAACTTGTCAAATTGGTAAGATGGATGTAAAATAAAAGCAAGTAATAATAATGGTTGTTCCCACATTTTCCACCGTTTTTCAAGTCGTAAACACATTCGATCAGAAAAATCAAAATTATCTAAATTTTTAAAAATTTCATAAAAATAACCAAATGAATGAAGAACTTCAAAGAGATAAGACTTGTCACATTGCAAAATATTTAAACATCCACAGAATAGAAGTAATAAATTTTTTAAAGCCCGAGTTGTTATCCAAAAGTCATCATTATTAATTATATGACATATATCTACTGGTAATGTTAAGCTGCTGTTTTGATTTAAAATATCAGAAGGTTTATATTTTGCTACTAACATCTTTAAATAAAAAAATATCAATAATTAAATATTTTAAGATTAAAATTAAAAAATTATTATATAGTATAACGAACTTTTAAAGCTTCTTTTGTATTTAATATACTTCTGAAACAGTAATAATAGCTGTTCCATCTAGTATTACCAGGTATAATCAAGTTGACATATTTTTTATATAATATTTTTTGTTCATCATATAATTTTTGAATAAAATAACTATGCCGTTTAGATATAAAATAAGTTACAATTTTGTGTGCATTTTGAGCAGTAATATTAAAGTCATTATCTTCTTTAAAAATATCACCCACACACAAATTCACTTGGTGAGCGAAGCAAGGTAAATATATAATTTCAGAATGCAAAATTTGAAGTGTACGTCTAAATTAAAATTTAAATTAAGATTATTATAAATAACTTACTGTATATAGTTAAAAATTATAATATTTACCGTGCACTAGCATATTGAGCAGCACTATTGGTAACAATTGCTAAGATTTGAATATTTTCTTTTTTTATATCCTTAGTTAACTCTTCAATTTTTAATTGGACTTCTTCTTTTCAACTACATTCTCCACTTACATTTTGTGTTTTCCAAACTAATACTTCGCCTTTAGATGTAATTAGAATACTACCCATTAAATTTTGATTTACTACATTTGTCCATCCATCTAATACCAAAGTAACACCAATGTTATCTTTTTGTGCTTTTTTTTTAATTAATTGGATAATATCAAGACTAGCATTAGTTAAAATTTGGCCACTTAATCGCTTGCATATTGGAAGTTTTAAATTTGGATTTAAAAAGGTAAATATTTCTTGAGATTGTTTATTTTCTACCCAACGAAAACTCCAACCATTAGAAATTGTTGCTTTTAAAAGCAAATACCACCATTTTCGATATTGTGCTATATCTAAACTTCGAACTGCATATTGATCTAAAGGACCCATTGACAAATTAGCTAAATTCATAGTAATTATAGATGAATTGTCATTATCATCATCTGTTGTTGCTATATCGATATTATTTGAATCTAAATTTTCGTCTTCTACTTCAGGTTTTAAAAGCTCTTATATAAATAAAAAAAAATAAATAATAAATAAATACAAATATGTATATTATACAAATAAATAAGTAATAAAATTTAAATAAAACAAAATTTAAATAAGATAATATACATACTATGTTTTTTTGATTTTTTTTGTCGTGCTTTTGTAGTTTCACTATCAGTATTATCAAGAATATCTTGTTCTGCTTCTTCTCCATAAATTGCAAAAAAATTTTCACAGTCTTGAAGATGTCATTTAACACATTTTTTGGTATTTATAATTTTATTTTGATATGCAAATTCACGAGAAACTTTTTCTTTACATGATTTACATAAAGCAAACTTATTATAAGAGTTGGCTTTTTCATTTAATAATTCAATATAAATTGTTAGTCGATGTTTTTCCATTTGTTTTATAAACTTCTACGTACAAACATGAAAATAAAAGTTTAAAGAACTAAAACCAGTCTAAATCTGGTGTTTATTAATAAATATATTACACAAACACAAATATTTTATTACACTAGATACAAATATAAATATGCGATATTATAGATAAAAAAATTTTTAAGCCAATCAAATAATTGGAATTTATTAAGTCCAAAAATCTTTGTTTCACTGGAACTAGAATTTTGGTCCAATAGTGTTCCAGTGGAACGTTCCAATTTAGTGCCCAACACTGATATTATAGTCATTGTTGGAAATCTGGTTTGAGATTTAGAATAAATTTATTCAATTTATTTCTTGGAAATTTATTTATGTTTTCAAC